TCAGTAATTACACTGAAAAGGTGAAAACAAATAATAGCACACAGCAGTGATGTTTGATGACTTTTCAGTGCTTTCATGGTGGATCTGTGGCTTAATAAAGCCACGTATAATAAATACATGTGGCTTTATTTAATTTCTGGAACTGTGGACTAAGGAGATGTATGTGCTTTCTGAACAATGGTGCTGGTATGCCTGCTATGAACAAAATGGAAAATAGGCCATAGTGAGCACTGCTTGAGGGGCAGGCTTGACGTGCTTACTTTGGAGGAGCTTTCCAGAACTCAGGACAGCTGCTGAAATCAGGACTGGCAAATACACGACAGCATTCATGTTAAAACACCATACAAAACTGTTACCATACTTATTCTCGTCTGAACATCCTCAAATCTGTTTCATGCTAAAGGTTGCTGAAGATAATGAAATGAAGGGAATGCAGAAGGAGGCAAAACAGGCTTCATTCACATTTGGGACAAGAAGCTGTAAGCAATATCTGTAAAAGGAACATGCCTTGTGAAACAGTTTATTCATTTTAATACACGTAGGCCTCTCTGTGTATAGCTACTGTCGTGGCCCTGCACTGCCACACACAGCTCAGTGGCTGGCTGCTGGGCGGGCCTGGAGCAGCATGGCCATGGCGTTGACAGTGGCAGGATGACTGGATGGACCCCTGACTGGACAGGGCGCGTGCGGGGCTGGGCATGGGTCTGTCAGGTCTGCTCCCTGCTGGCGTTGGAAGCCATTGTGGTGCATCTGGTTGAGTACTTGAATAAAGTGAAACCAAAAGCCATCCCTTAGCTGTGGAGGAGAAAGAGGCCTTTCAAAGTTGTGAAGTGTGTGGCCTGGTAAGTTCCAGGTGATGGCCATGGCTGCTGGGAGCAGGCTGCGGCTGTGGCTGCCGGCTGTACGCTGATCCATGCTGCCTCACAGCTTTGCAGCACTCCGGAAGGTTGTATCTGCTACAGCTGCCACAGCACTGGTGCTTTGCTTCTTGGACTTAGCGCCGGTTGGGAAGTGGGCTCCATCTTCTTTCCTTCGGTCTGGTCCTGCATGGTGACACGCCGTCTTTGCAGAGCAGGAAAGCTCTGTGGTAGCTGCTAGCCAAGGTCTGGTGCCAAGGGGTGGGCAGGGACCAGGGGGTGGGACATTGCATCTGGGAGAGAAGCTGTAAGAGTTTGTAGGGGTATCTGGGGAAAGAGATACAAGGAGTAAGAAAGCGGATGTATCAGGGAGGCCGAATAACTGGCAGTAGGTGAGTACTGTGGATTGAAGAAGATAGGAAATCTGTAAGAAGACAGTTATATCTTCCTGAGTTTAAAGACAGGAAGGGAGGTGGCTGTACTCGTGCTCTGAATGTACAGTATTGGAGCTCAGAGATAAATCTTATCTGCAGGTCACCTCAGTCAGCATCCTGCCTAAGATACTAGTGATCAGTGGGTACCTCACGACAGTGCTGGGAACTGTAGAATTAAACACAATATAATCTGCCCCCTCATGAAAGTATTTGATTCTTTAAGGATTCAAAATTAATTTACATCTTGACTCATTATTATCTTCCTTTCAGTTCTACACTTTTTTTTTTTTTTTTTTGTATGAAATAATCTGCTTAATCATGGATATTCTTGTTATCCTTATGCATGTCTAACCCTATTTTAATCCTGATAAATTGCTTATCAGCATCAGTGGCTTTTTTGTGTCGTACATAAAGTACCAATTTTCACCTTTTTTTTTTTAGTAAATATTTTTAAATTTTTATTTTTATACTCTTAAACTTGCAGACCTTTAGCTTTGCTGTTTTATATTCAGGCAGTGAATATTTTTAGCTTACTTTCTGTGTTACTGAAATGTTTGGACATCTTTCTGAGGTATGTAACAGTTTTTTTGCAGCCTCCTGATACAGCTACAAACTTTCATTCCCCAAATGCTTGCTTTCTCTGAACACCTGAATTCCATAAAGCCCATTTCCACAGTGTGCTGCCATCCTCTGCACTGTAATCCAGCTGATAGATAGGGCCCACTAACACAAACAGATTTTTTTAAGTCTACTCAGTACCTTATTACTATTGCATTCTAACATTTTAGCTTTTGTTGTCATAGGTGCATGTCAAGCAGAAACTTGAGATGAGCTAAAAGCAGTAGTGCCCAGAGCCCTTCCCTTAGCTTATGCTATGAACAAGACAGAATTATTTGGATTATTTTTGCAGTGTATGTAGTTCAGAATTTCTTAGACATTCTGCTACTGTTTGTGTTCATTATCATAATTCTGTGCTTAATGTCTTAGTGCTGTGATATTGCAGCTTTGTTTAGCACAGTTAGTTTCTGCTGAACTTTCTCCCTCTACTGATTTGATTAAAATGAATTACTGGGTGTCAGCCGCATGTTTTGCTGTTTAGCTGTTCATCTCTGGAATTTCAGTTTGTCAGTAAGTACATTAAATAATGCTAGTTTTTTTTTTTAATGAATAAAGTTATCTATTAAATATAAGTGTTGAGTTAGACCATACCTAACCAGGCAGTCATGTCAGCTTTCTTAACCTGTGTTCAGAGTTCATTCCCAGAGTGTCTCAGACAAGCAGAGTCCTGACTCTGGTTGTTACAGCTGTTTGATTTTTTTTTTCCTTTAGTTTAATCTAGGAATGTGTAGTTCAAGATGAACCAAGAGCTATTTTTCTGAAAGTGGAAGTGTGAGTCCTTTTTTGACAAGTTGGAAAGCAGCCTGGAAGCAGGGAAGAATTGTGAACTGCAAGAATTAATAGGGATTGATAACCTTATATAACCTTATAGTCTTACAGCCATTATAGTTATACACTCAACCACACAGTCGATAAACTGATGACTGCGTTCTGTGAAGACGTAAGAAGGCAATTTCATTTAGATAGATACATTTAACAAATATTTTTGAAAGAACATTTCTGAAATGAGTCATGCCTGATATAGTCATATGCATTTTTATTAAGTATTTACATTCTAAGTGTCTTGTCTTGTATGCCTTGGCAATCTTTTAATACTGTGCTGTTAAAATAAATGTGAAACAACGAAACGCTCAGTGTATCTTGAGTGTGAAGCCACAGTGCTCACTGATATAATTCCCTCTTTTTCTCACAATTTATTGTAAAAGGTGAAGAAGTTAGTGAAGAAGATAGTGAAGAAGTTAGAATACAAATACTCTGAGGTGGAAGAGCATTCTAAATTAGCCAAATTCAAGATTACTTAGAACCTGTAAGTAATCTAAGACAAAGCTTGTCCAAAAAGCCCCTGTAAGTCACCCTTGAAACTTGTTCCAACTCCAGTGTCAAGATGCAAATCTTGCTGGCAGCTTCCTGCATTGCTCAGTCCTTACTGTATGTTATGAGGAGTTTCCTTTTAGGTGTTTACAAGTCAAGTTAAGAATTTGTTTTGTAAAATGTTGGTATTTCAGAGGAGAGTGCACCTCAAACAGTTAAAACTTACTGTAATATATACAAAAATGACACAACTGTAGAAACCATGCTTGTAAAACCACAAGTCTTTTCCTTCACAACATATGAGAAGACCGAGAATTCTTCCTACAAAAACGTGTATCAACAGGAACTTGGCAAAATTTGCCTTTGTGAGCATTGGTAAGGCCCTGATTCAAGTAATTTTCTGCATTTTATCTATTTCTAATCCCCTTTACATAGCAATTGACTCCATGCTGGAGTCACAATTTCTATCAGCACGCAAAGCCATTGTTAGTTTTGCAACTTATTTGAATACATAGCAGGGAAACTGTATCTTCTTAAGTTCTATTAAAACATTTGCCTGGGAGATGCTGCTGCTGTATGTGATCTGCCCATTCTCCTAAGTGGCTCTGGTGGAGTGGGCTTTTGGTGCAGTCACTGTGATACTTACATAGGATTTGAGAGGAAGATGTTGATTTGCTTATCCTAGGCAGAATGGCTGGTACGGACACAAAAAAGGGACCAAACTAGACACCTCCATAAAAATGATAAAAATAAAAGAGAAGCCTTTAGTAGTATTCTGATTTGAAAACAGTACTTAAATAGAAAGGAGGTGTGACGTGGAGGCCTAAAACTATCACAATAAAAAACTTATGTGTTAGAGAAAACCACTTAAAATATAATTAATGACACCTTTAAGAACAGTAATGTGTATTATAAATAGTAATAGTGCAGGGGTTTTCCTTCGTGCTTTCTGGAGCATGAAATGCAGTGAGAGAGAGTGGGTGCTGTTGGGAAGAATGGGCTTGCAGTATTTGTGTGGATACAGGCTGTCCTTGACATTCTTATAAAAATGGCAATGTAGACTACTTCAAAGCAGTGAGTTCACAATGAATTTCTTTCATGACTAGTTTACAGCTATATGCCTATAGTTAAAGTGTTTTTTTTATCTGTAGGCATTTGTCAGACTGGTGTCACATAAAGTGGAATGTAAAACCATGACAAGGAGAGGTGGAACAAAATTCCAGTGCTTAGAAGACTTTAACTTTCGTTTTCTAAAAATGCTTTTTTTTCATTGTTTATTTTTAAGGAAAATCAAGTTTAATGACTGCTTCTTGTTGGAGCTAATTTTTTGGTACGCACAGCCACATTTCATTATTTTCACACACACACACACACACACACACAGTCTGAGCAATCTTTCTCAATAGTAAGTATACAGGTTTTGCTTTATATACATTTACTTGCTTTCTTTTTGTGCTAGATGCAGCTACTACTTTGAAATGCCGTTTCATCATTTTCTAAGAGATGGAAATTTCTGGGGTTTGAATTGTGATCCTATGGCTTTAGGCAGCGTGTCGCCTAGCGTGTTCTCATTGCTGTAATACTGAAGCCTAGTTGGCATTAAAATTTCTCTGAGATTAGGTTTAAAATGAAGTATTTTGAAAGGGGTTGTGGTACCGCTACATATTCTAAGTCTCTTTCTCCAGGACCAGTAAAATTCTGGAGGGAGAGGGGGATTTCTCCTTCTTTCCACCTGCCTACTGATCTGAGCATCCTCTGCCTCCAGGCCCTCTCGAAAGCAGAAATGCTCAACTGGTGGTTTTGCTCCTGCTCTGGAGAGCTGTGGTGCCGCTGGGTAGAGAGAGGCCAGAGTAACTGGGCAGCACAGAGCGGTACACAAGATTGGTATTGTGGCTGTGGAGGTAATGGCCATTCCTCTTACTTAGTATTGGGGGTTCTGCATTTCAATTTTGTATTACTGTATCCCTGTTGGAAAGGTTTCCTTTTATTTTGAAGTTCTTTGTCAGATTTTAAATATTTACTTACCAGTATTTAAAGAACTGAAAAGTAATTCTCAGAGATCAGTGCAGAATTTCACATTCATTACGTTCTGCCTACATGCTGGGGATTGGGAGTTACACAACCTCTTTCTATAGAGTTGTGTTTTCTAGTGATCCAGACTTAACTCAGCTACTTCTCTAAAATATAAGTGTATTGGAAAATGTGTAGGATACAAAACATAGGTCGTGATGAATTACTGTGTACCTCTTAATTTAAAAATAATCAATTGCATTAAGGTTCTTCAAGCGCTGGCTTCTATCATTATGTATACTGATCTGAATCCTGCAGAGTGGAAAAGCTTTAGTTGCTGTGATGTAGATCCATGCACAGTCTGGCTGTGGAAAAAGTGTGTATGGAGCTGTTGCACATTTAGCTCAGATAGAAGACTGAAAGCTAAGTACCCAACACAGAAATTGCTGTTGGTTACTTGCAAACTGTAGTGATGGGGAGAGGGAGGGCTGTAGCAGGAATGCTTTTATGGCTTAATTATGGCATATTTTCACCTTGGCACTGAGGTTTCCTGAGAAATTGTGGGTCACTGTTCCAAATTACGGAGGTAGTAGATCATCGTAGTACAATCACCCAAGCAATTATTTTAACATGAGCAAAACACATTTTTTTTCTGATCTCAATTTTTGTAGGAAACTGGACCAGTTTTTCAGGAACATTACACATAGGAAAATGAACCTGAGGCAGACATATAGCACGCAAAATTTTGCCTGAATGCTAATAGTTTGGCACAATTTTAATATGTAAATGAAACTAGTATGTAGTAATGGGAATTCAGATGCAGTGATTGCTACCAGATCCACTAAGAGTAATGGAATTGCATACCAACACAGACTTACGACAAATATTGTGATTGTAGGTAACTAAATGACCATGGAATCTGGAGCAGAGAACCAGCAGAGTGGAGATGCAGCCGTTACAGAGGCAGAAACCCAACAGATGACAGTACAGGCACAACCACAGATTGCAACGTTAGCCCAGGTATAAAATAATATGGTATAGTAGCTTTACCTACTGGGTAACTTTTTAAGAGGGATAATGTCTGCTCGTGGGCCTGAGTCAAGGTCCGATTGATACGACTCTGAAACAGCTGCTGTGTATAGTTCCATTAATGTTTGTCTTCAGATTTTTGTAGTATTAGAAATTTTCAACTTCACATCACCCTTGACTGTTAATTCTGAAGAACTGTGTGTGTGTAAACTTTGTAATTTTAACAGAATATTTAATATTAATTGAATTATTTGTATCATTCTTTACCACAACCGTAACACTGAAAGGTTGGGTTATTTTCAAATTATGTAATTTATTGTCTTTTTTGATATTGACCAGATTGTTTCGCTGTTGTATTTTCTGTTAGAAACTTGTCTATAACAATTAACTTTATTCTGAAGGAAACAAATTGAAAATCCAATTAAATAATACAGAAAATACAACATCATATCAGATGGGATGAACCTTGTAAACATTAGGATCAAGTAAATGAGACAACCTGGCATCTGACAGCTTGTCTTGTCCTATGGAATTTCACAGAATTGTTCATCACATAGAGAGACAGAAGTAGATCATTAATTATCCCCAAATTATTTTGGAGAGGCAAGAAATTACACAATTCCAGCTACGTCTCTAATTCTGGAATCTAGTGTCATTCGTGGATGCATGATGGCTGGCAGAAGTAACTCCACTGTGTAAAATGAATACAGAATCTCTCATCTCTCTCCTTTAACAATTTCATTTTAGAAGTACTTGCAGTCTGCAAAGAGCTGGCATGTTCTTTAGATCACGTAGTGTGGGGAATTTGATGTCTTTTAAGAGGCGCATGTGTTGAATGATGTACAATTTTATAGGTGGTTAGTATCTCTAAGAAGTCTTTTCACCTCTCAGTAAACTCAGTACACTTCCATTCAAGTGATAGCACAGGGGTCCAAGCTGTTTAAATGCACAGGGCGCTTTTTGTTCAGTGAGCTGTAGTGTGAATTTTCAGACCACCAACTGCCCTGCACCAGCTTGCCTCTTTGGGCAGTTTTCTCACTGTTTAACTTAGGCACAGAATGTAGGTGGTGTGAATAACACTTCAGTGTCAACTAAGTGAAAGTCATTTATTTCTCTTGCAAAACCAGTAAGCTGCTTCTCTCTTGGTATGTGTTAACATTTCCTATGGAGAAGCAAGCATGTTTTACATTTATGTGCTGACATACTTCCAGGTAGATAAACTTGCAGTACAGAGTGGACTGAATGTACTTCACTAGGGTAAAATTACCCTGGCACTTGAATGAGATTTTTTTTTTTTTTTTTTTTTTTGAGTAAGGAAAGGCTATGCAGTTATTATTAAAACCCTTGTGAAGCACAAGCAAATATGTGAGTTTCCCTAATTCCCCTATTGTCATTCACTGTATTATTTGCACCTTGGCTATTTTCCAAACTTTATAATCCTCATGGAGGGGACTGAACAGTCCAAACACAATTCCTTGTCTGATTCTGATTGGCAGTGTTTCATTAATATGACGTTTTTAATGTGTCATGTGGCAGAGCTTGGCATTAGAGAGTGCCCTCAGAGGCTCAGGCAAGTCTAAATAACTAATTATGTTAATTTAATCTTTCATTACTTCTTGTAAGTCACCCCCTTATGAGCTTAGTCTAAATTCTGTGTTTTTAGCTAGCTCAGGGTAGTTTTTGGAGTCAAAAGGAAACTCGTTCCAGTTCCACAAGGTATGAGTCAGAGGCATCTGCGGAAGTTGCATTCTGCTGTTGGCTTTGTGCAGCCGCGGCGTAGCCTCCAGTTGATCGGTGTTGCTGTCACTGCCAAGGACTGTTTAGTCAGACGTGCAGTATTATAAAAGGTCACTTGGTGAAGGAATATGATTTGCCAGAGGGAAGCATGGTCACGCTAATCCCAGTCCCAGTTTCTCTCCTGCAAGCTAAGTACGGCCATGTAATGCTGCAGCCATTTTCATAAAAAAAGGAAGGTAACAGCAAGCACAGATTGTGGATTAGGGAGGGACAGCTGTGGAGGAGAGAGATCTACATGAAATTCCCCCTAATTCTGTTGTTGAGCAAGATTTCTTTGTAAATGATGGATGTTTATGGAGATTCAGAGATGAGTTGTTGTAGCATTTTGAGAACCATGTGTCCATGAGGACAGCAGAGAATTTGCAGTCTGCATACAGCAGTTCTCTGGGATTAGGCAGGATGGCAGTAGAACTCCTACTCCCACTGTAGCTAAATGGATTGCATTTCTTAAAAAAGCCATTGCGTACCAGAAGACTCCATTTGTCCAAATGTAGGTATGCAGGTGCAGGATGGCTAGTGAGTGAGCCCTCACTGGCATGGCCTGCGATGGCCAAGGCCTGTGATGGCAAGTAAGGAGCATCTCTGAAGCCCTGGCACGGTGTGGCAGCCCTGTCAATGCTCTGCCTGCCAGGAGCCCAGGCGTGACCTCATGCACTGCGTCACCGGACCAGGGATGAGCACGACTGAGTCCTGGGGTGCCTGCCCAGCCATGGAGCAGCCCCAGTGCACAGCCCACTGCTTGCCCATTACCCATGATCGTGGTCCATGTCACTCGGCACAGCGAAGAAGCGAGACTTCTCCATTCTGCCATGAGCAGCCGTGCTTGTGGAGCGCTGTCCTTGGGGCCATGTCCTGCACAGGCCGTGTGGCTGCACACACACTGCCATGCCCAGCTCTGCACAGTTGGCACGTCACTGTGGGCATAGCCACTGCCTGCAGCTCTGTGCTTTAGAAATGAATGTGTGTGTACAAACTGAGATTTTAAAGACTTGGGCCATTTTTCCTCAGACATGAAATAGCTGTAAGAGCAGAGTTTGTGTTTACTGGCTAGGCTGGATGAAAATAACTGAGTGCATATCTTTTGGTCCTCAGCAACCCCCTGTTTTTTTTCTATCTGAACACGTGGTTGATTTTGCCAGCTACTCAGTAAGGTTTAGTCACTAATAAGTCTGAAAGATATGACTCTACAAATTCTAACATCTTACATCTGGCAAGTAACTGTGCATTTTCCTGAGTGAGAACAAAAATAGTTCCACTCCCATACATTTCTGCCTTTGACTCAAAGGTGTTAGTAGGAGTACACCCAAATCTTAGCAGTGTGTAACTGAAGTAACTGAAGGTTAATATGTTTTTATTAGGTTACTCAAAATAAAAGCAGTTGTGTTTTTCTCAATCTTGTTAATGGTTTTAGAGGTAATATTTTGAGCCTGCAGAAACGCTGCATTAGATTAATTTGGAAAGTAGGTCAGATGTTGGGCATAGACAATTCAGGGTTTTTTGTATTACTTTGAAACATTTGGGTCATCTAGCTGGTGTCTAGATTAGATGTAATTTGTTCACCAGAAGGTGTTCCTGATAGTGAAAAAAGATTCTGCAATAACCTAACTTTTATTCACTGTCTCTACATTGCAGGTATCTATGCCAGCAGCTCACGCAACATCTTCTGCACCCACGGTGACCTTAGTTCAGCTGCCCAATGGGCAGACAGTTCAAGTGCACGGCGTAATTCAGGCTGCCCAGCCATCAGTTATTCAGTCTCCACAGGTCCAGACAGTACAGGTACTTGCTGAAGAACTTCCTAATATGCGAATTGCACCTTCTGAATGGTCCTGCCAATTTGTTGGTTTTTATTGAGCTTGTGTCCTTGATTATGTTTTTGCTTAAATTTAATTTAAAAACAAAATCTGTACAGTATTTGCTACTCTGTGACTTTTTTTCTCTTCTGGTTTAACCACTTTTGACTTTAATTCATCACTGAGTCTCATTTCCCTCTAGAACTTGATTGGGGAGCTTAACAGGTCACTATTTTACCTTTCAGTATTTTTTAATTTTTTTCCTATACTTCATTTTTGCACGGTAAGAGTGTAAGAGTTAATATTGTCCTAAGGTGAACAGGAACAGTTTTTCTTATAATGTAATCTGTTAATCATTTGAGCCCGATATTCTGGGATGAGAGCCTTTGCCGCTTCAGGAAACAATTGTATTGGTTTACAAAACACATCTGTATGTTTATGGCCCTTCAAATATACTTATCGGTCTTCTCGTAAAAGTAATATTTAAATTTACCAGCAGAATGTTGTTTTTCTTCCGTAAAACAAGAAAGATAATGCAACATGAGTGAAGAGAGAGCTTGAAGACTTAGGAGAAAAGTAATCTGAAATCTTGAAACCCATAACCATTTATTTCGTTTTTCTTTGGAGCAATTTCAAGTCCAGTGTTACTGAGCACAGGAATTACTTTGGGCAGCTACACAGAGTTAGACTGATAGATACCTAGCTGGGTATTCTTGTAAAAATAATAAGGCATGCATAACTTAAAACTAGGCCATTCTGATAATGGTCTTTATTTACTCCTTGTAAAATAGTCCCAGCTTTAATGAAGAGTTTCTGGCAGTCCTGCCCTCTTCAGCTGATAGAGTCAGAAGTTCAGAATTGTAATCTATTGGAAGCAAGCAGTTTTCAGATAAGTGCACTTTACTAGCACAGGGGTGGGAGATAAGAGACTGACAGTGAAATCCTGGATGGAATTCACCTGGCTCAGTGCAAAGCACAAATGTGTGTGGAATGCTGTGATACACATAGCATGGTATTTCAGTGTCAACCTCGGACCTGTCCAGGCCTTCTATCTGATAACTGAGATTTAGGCGCCAGCAAGCTTTTGGATCCTTTAAGGATCTTCCCTACGGTGCTTAAAAAACCGTGCTGAGAGCTGTGTTTCTCACGTAAGCATTTTGCTGCTCACCATAATGAGCTTTGTAGATTTATAACATGAATATAGCCATTTGAAAAACAACCTCAAGAGTTTTTGTATTTGGGGTTTTTAAAATATTTTTGGGACACTTTGAATGTAAAACTGTGGAACTAATTTGAAACATTTTAACTTTCCTTTATGAATCTTTTAAAGTTTTTTTTTTAGCTCCAATTTTCAGACTTACAGCACTGCATTATTTTTTAGCATCTTCAGGCATGACATTTTCCTGACGATTTCCCAAAAGAAAAAGCAGTCTTTGTGTAATAAATCCATACAGTGATTTATAAATTGTTGTTTCTCAATTTCATTATTTTGCTCTTTCCAACCCTTCTGCGTCCTTTCTTAATTTGCTTTGAATTTTTTCTCTCCCTAAATCTGACTGACTTCCTCATTTGTTCCTTCAGAATGGATGGAAACAAGGAAGAAATCATGAAAACCAAAAACTGTTTGGGACTAATTTTTGTATTCTCTTACTGTAATATTTAAGTTCTAAGAGACATTCTCATGGGTAGATACCTGGCTCTGGTCATTCTTCATTGTATCTATTACTTTTAAGCAGCCTGCCCTTTCTTTTCATTGCATAGATAGTAGTAGTGTATAACACATGCATCACATCAGCTATTCCTTAAAATTAAGGCATTGGAAGTGTCCTGTTAAATTTGATTGCTGTTCTTATTTTCAGATCTCAACTATAGCAGAAAGTGAAGACTCACAGGAATCAGTGGACAGTGTCACAGACTCACAGAAACGGAGAGAAATTCTTTCCAGACGACCCTCCTACAGGTAAGCAGGTTAAAAGCAGAAGCATTTTGCTTGTTGGATGTGTTCTTCACGTGGGATGCCAAATGGTGGGATTCTGTAATTCTGTTCAGATTTATTGAAATCTCTCTGTTTTGTCCACTACTTTTTCTCATCTAATACCTAGAACTCAAGTTCTCTAGAAGGGAATTGGTTATCTGTCCAAGTGGTACTTGGCACTGTGGAGCGCTTGTGCAGTGCTGGGGTTCCTGTTCACATGCAGAGCTGAAATAGTAACAGCAAAGCACTGTTTGTCAAGTTGCCTAGCAGAGTGACCAGCCTCCCCACATAGCTGAGCACAGATGTTCTGGTTCCCAAAGCTTTGGAAAGGTAACGAGTGTCATGTTGGAGCTTAGGATCTACAACGGTGTTCACTTCATCACACTTTGAATTCTAGAGACAGTACACAGGAAAACAGAATTACAAAGAAAGTTCCTTTACACCCAAGTAGCGTTTTGCAGTGAGGTAATACAGTGCCTGCACTGAAAAAGGCTTGACAGTCCACTCTCTGTGGGACAGTGCTTAGTCTAAATGTTGCAAATGGCAGCAACTGGTTGTGTTCAGTCCTACAGTCACAGTCAGTAGGACCTTTAGCTGGGATGTTTCAGCTGTTTGGGCTGTGGAGAATTAGCCTGTGTAAATAGTTAACAAACTGCTTTTTCTTTATACATGCTAATCTTACAGCATTTCTAAGGCAGAGTTTTTAGTTCCCCTGTACGCATAATTGTGCTGCTTAAAACTCAGCACTGTCTCCCAGGCAGCTGTTCCATTAAAAGCTGGTGGCCCTGTACAAGCATTTCTGCAAACCTCCTTTATACTTGTCTCTCTGGCTGAGGACATGATGGTCTCTGAAAGGGAGCAGTTCCTCTGATGTGAATGATGAGGTTTTGCATACATTGCTTTCTTCAGATATTTTGTGGATGAAAGCAGGAAAGAAGTCAAAATGCATGAGACACAAACATGTTTTTAAGAAAAAGGAAATATTGCAATTGTTGAGAAGTACCTGTGCTGCTCTTTGCTAGCTGCCTTACTCATCTGTGCATAGCACTCTGAACAACTTTCTCCAATAAGAATTTGCAGGTAGTCTGGGTTTTTCATTTTACACCCATATTTGCAGTGCTGGATCACTGTACTTCCCAATAATTATGCATCAAAAAGACATTTTCTCACCTTTTACTAAAATCTCTACAACGCACTGTCTTTGCCAGAAAAATTTTGAATGACTTGTCCTCAGACGCCCCAGGAGTGCCAAGGATTGAAGAGGAAAAGTCTGAAGAGGAAACAGCTGCACCTGCCATCGCCACTGTTACGGTGCCAACTCCCATTTACCAAACCAGCAGTGGGCAGTACAGTATGTAGTCTGAATTTCTCAGTGGTGCTAGTAAGTGGGGATGAGAAGATGAAGAACTATTATTTGTATAACTGCGTGGGCTAGGGTAAAGCAGGAGGTAAAACTAAGATTACTTTATTTGACAGCTATACCTTTTAAACCTATTCTTCTTATTAATATTTGAAATCTTCAATTAACATTCTGGGATTGTTTGCCAGCTAGTGCAGCTGCTGCTTCCAGAGGCAAAATATGAGTTAAACATAATGCTGTTATAAACTTTTTAACTTCAGGAATCAGATGAGGTAATTCAGTAGTTTCAGTTTTTCCTGGCAGACTATTAATCCAGGCTAAATCATTACCTAGTTAATGGAAGATGCATTAGTCTGCCATTGCACTTTTTAGAAAGTCCTGAAAAATAAGGACTTCAGCAAGCTTATTTGAAGCACGTAGTAAAAGAGTTTCTGTGTTTTCATTGTCTTTACTCATTAGATTTTATATCTACAGTACCTTGACTTGAAGGGTTGAGGTTATAACACTAAAACTAGAATTCACATGCTGCCTCAAACAAATATACTCAGTATTAAATATTCAAGAGGAAGAAAGAACTCTCAGTTCATGTCTTTCTCTTAAAGTGTCTTTAAAATGTTGTTTCTCTGTTTACTCCTTAGCCACTTTGACAATATCCCACCTAAATATTGAAATGATGTTAATTCTGCTTTTCTACTATAACTAAAATAAACTGGTTGTGTGGACATCTCAGATTTTGATATGTCTATATATTACAATACAGTGAAATTCTGTGGAAGTAGAAAGGAGAAGTGACATCTCAGTACACCTCAGTACACAGCATAGAGGGAGAGAAAGGAAAAAAAGCAACAAAGACTGCATGAAGGAAAGAAAAATGTGTGAAACTGGACCTGTGTGAGCGAAAACACTGCTAGGAAGGTGCTGAGGAAGTAGTAGAGAAGGGGAGATACAATCAGAAGAGAAAAAAGCCAAAGCAAGAAGAAAGTGAAACACAAGATGGATAGCAGTAGCAGCAGAGGAGACTGAAGGGAGTAAAGCATGGAAGAGGCAAAGAATTTCAGATGAGGAGAAAAAGGCAAGGAAAAGACCTAAACCAACCGGAAGAATACTAACTAATAGAAAGTATTTCCCAGGGGAGGATTGTAGCTCCTCTGTGTGATATTGTTTTACCAGAGAAACTAATTTGTAGTTTAATTTGTATTTTAAGTTGTATTTTAAGTTGTGGGTGTGATTCAAAATATGAATCTCAGGAAAAATTAAAACCTTACTGTCAAAGTATGGTTACTTTAAACCTACTTGAAAGCCTTGGATCTGATTTGAGGGCTTATAAGGGTTCAACGGCTCTAACTTGGACTGGTAGTCTTCTATGTCTAGGTTAATTACTTTATATTAATGAGTAAATCAATGTCTTAAATACTGTATCCCTTTTCCTTGTCTGCAGTTGCTATTACGCAAGGAGGAGCAATTCAGTTGTCTAACAATGGCACAGATGGAGTACAAGGTCTCCAGACATTGACAATGACCAATGCAGCTGCAACACAACCTGGCACTACCATTTTACAATATGCACAGACCACAGATGGACAACAGATACTTGTACCCAGCAACCAAGTTGTTGTACAAGGTGAGATGCCTCACAGCCAGTCATTCTGTATAACATTTTCTCCACACAGATTCATCTTGCCAACATAAAGTCCTCAAATGTGTCAGGAGACAGAATTAACAGCTTTAACACAGATCAGTCTCCAAAATAAAAGGAAATTCTGGGCAAAGCTGTCACATTTTCTTGGAGCCTTTCTCTTCAGTTCAATACCTTTATAGATATTTACTTCTTGAAACAGTATTAATTGTTTTAACATGATTTTTATTACACGTTCACAAAAACTGATGCTACACTCCATTTCAAAATTCAGCCAGAGTCATCTGCAACAATAGTGAATTTAAAGCAAAGTGTTAAAGTTAGGAAAGAAATTTGTTTAATATGTTCTTTCCATAAGGACACTTTTATTTATTGGTAAGTTCTCTCCCTTTTCAATTGGAAGCCGTAATTCCTTTTTATTGTGGGATTGTAACTAGTCACCAGGTATTTAGTCATTGGAGTTTTAGAATAGAATATAGTAATAGAATACTTAAGGATTGTGCCTTAAGATGTCATTTGATCAAAACCTCCACTTAGAGCAGGACTACTTCAGACTTAGACCAAGTTACTTTTTATTTTATTAAAATTCTTGTTTTGATTAATTGGGAGTAAGAGGGAGAGTTTTGAAAATATTTATCAAAATAACAGAAAACTATATGCCTGCTTTTATGATTCTAAGTCAGATAATTCAAAGTTATCCGGAGGAGAGGTCTCTAGGCACCAGTAAAAAAATATATGGGTGCAAAAAATACTATTGTTGCATTGATTTTCTGGATTTTGCATTCTTAACCACATGTCGCCTCTTTAGGTGATATCAAATTTTTTATGATCTCAGGCAAGTATAACACACTTGTTAAAACAAATAACGGAAACCAAAGGCCCCATTCTCTATTCTAGAGAAATATTAAGTTGTGCACCTAACTTGCACACAATTGTTGCAGTACAATATGACCCCTACGTTTTTCATCATGCAGCTGCCTCAGGAGACGTGCAGACCTACCAGATTCGCACCGCCCCTACCAGCACCATTGCACCTGGAGTAGTCATGGCATCATCTCCAGCACTTCCAACCCAGCCAGCAGAAGAGGCCGCACGGAAGAGAGAAGTGCGTCTAATGAAGAACAGGCACGTACATTTAGATCACTTTTTTTTCCCAAATAGCTCTGCACAGAAATAGAGTGTTAAGCACTGAGAATCCTGATCTTTCTTAAGTCATTAAGGGTGCGAAGCAAAGAAACACACCTGCTTATGCCATGCATTGACTGTGAAACCTTAAGTAAGGGTGTCACCGTAAGTAAGAAGTTGTCACCCAAGAAGGCACCTTAGAAGCTCTCCTCTGAGGGGCACAACTCTTTCCTAATCCAGTAGAAGTTGGTATTTGGTGACACAAGTAGTAGCCCAAAATGACACAAAATTCCACATGTTGCATATGGCCCACTGAAGTGCTACAAGCATATAAAGCTGTATTTGTAGGAGTGAACAATGGATACTTGAGTCCTTTCAGGGATTACAAATTAGATTTTCTTCTTTCTGTCTCATTTACAAAGCAGAATATCAGCAGTCGCTTTTCGTGTTGACTTACCAGATAGATCCTGGAATAGATGCTCTTTTTTTTATTTCATACAAGTTATTACTTACGTAGTGAGAAGAAGAGCTATCTTCAAACTTATCATCTTCTAATTTCCCAGAACACTGGCATTATCACCATTTTATGCAGTATTTGCATAACAGGACACTCACTCACCTTCTGAAGCTGTTCTGCATCGCACTTATCAATTCAGGTCAAACAAATGTATGTTACATGTTTCTGCAGCATTCTGCATTGACAAGCCATGTTGCAGGAGAACCTCCTGCAAGCATGTCCACCTGCAGCATCTATCCTTGTGCTCACTTCGCAAGTCAGTACCATTACTATTGCTCTGCAGGACACCTTCTGCCTTGGTGTTGCTGCCTTCAGGATGCTCAGCTGCACATTAGCTCCTTTGAGGTATTTTTCAGTGGTATCCTTAATATATTGCCATCTGAGTTACTTGCAGGCAGCTCAGTCTTTACAGGAGAGTTTGATTGTCCCAAGACCTGCTTCAGCAGATTTACAATGCCGTGTTCTCTGCACAGCAGATGAAGGCTAAAGAACTGTTGCTAATGACTGTGTCGTTTTTTCTTATTTGAGTGGTATACATTATCACTGCAGTGATGCAGACATTACTAAGAAAATGAAAGTGTTGCTCAAGGGCAAATATATGAATGCTCTAAGTGCAGCATTTTTTGCACTGCTTGAACTTCCTGACTATTAGTATGTGGTTGGACTGCAGTAAAAGGTAGAGTTGTGACTATAAGAAGATCAGTAGATGAACACCACTTTTATCCATGTTTTTATTATTCATCTATTTATTATAATAAAAGCAATCTAATTATTACCAGCATTCCACTCAGACTAATAGCTCCAAGTTAAATCCCACAAACAGAAATTTATGTTTGAGTAGGCTCCTTTTCTCACAGCAGCAGATTTCTATTGGTGCTGGCAAATTGGGATCTGGATATTGAAATGAACCTTAGATCTTGATAAATTGTTATGAGCTCAGCCTTTTTTCCTAATCTGTGAGTGTTAGAGTACCTGCATATTCTAAAAATGACATAGGGTTTGACCTAAACAATTAAGTAGTCGTACTTCCAGTCTGCAAGTAATTGTTCTGGATTTGAATGTCCTCTTTCGCTTTGCAGAGAGGCAGCACGTGAATGTCGCAGGAAGAAAAAGGAGTATGTGAAATGTCTAGAAAATCGAGTGGCTGTGCTTGAAAACCAAAACAAGACACTGATTGAGGAGTTGAAAGCACTTAAAGACCTTTACTGCCACAAATCAGATTAATTTTGGATTCCCATTTTCACTTGTCCAGGTGGGATGAGAGACTGGTTCTGGCTATACCCAGAAAGACAAAGTAAACTTTTTATTTTCTAAACATTTCTTTTTTTTCTATGCGCAAAACTGCCTGAAGCAACTACAGAATATACTTCGTCTGTGCTTTGCATCAAACTGTGAATGTTCAAATATTTGCCTCCACTTCTCCCCCTACAAGATTATTTTCATCGTCAAATAATCTCAGCGTGAAGAAGAACAGGCTTCTTTCTCATCTCCCATCCTCTTCAAGGAGTTAAAATGGTCACTTGGGAAGTTACTGCGGGGGAGGGTCCTTTTGTAATGACGTCAAGAATTTGTGCTGAGCTTTTTCCATTGCCTTAGAGACAGAACTACCCCAGCCTCTTGGTCCAGAGAGCTGTGGGCCGCATATGTGAAGCACACATGGTGCAATGAAGAAGCAGTGGTTGCCAAAGTGGTTTCTCATACTTATTTTAAGCTATAAAAATACGTGTCTAGGTGGCATGCCAAATGAAAGGCACTTCACAGTCACATTCTGAGTGTGGAGCTAAAATACCTTTTCAAACTAGCCCAGGAGGAGTTCTTATATGTAATCTACATCACTAGTCCCTCCTGAACTACTGAAAACTCCATGCCTCAGACACAAATGGATCGAAATAAGCTTCACTGTTCAGTTGTTGCTTCTTGAAGCATAGTGTGTGCAAATGTGTGCAGCATTCCGAATGCACAAAAAAAAACCATTGACTTCATATGTTACTGGTTGGCAAACAAGATTTGAATGGGAAAGGAATCAGAATGAAAAAGGTACAGCAGTGATGCTTAGTAAACAGTCAGATAATAAGGCTAACACATGAAAGCACTGCCTATTTATATGCAGAACAACTAAGCAGTTGAAGCATGGCCAACTCCACATACATACTCCCTGATGACAGTATGGTTTGTCTGATGTCCTCTTAAGCGATCATGTATTTCTATTTCCCTACCACTATCATATGTAAAGGAAATTATTGAACTTGATAGAAGCATTGTCCTGGTTTACTAGATTATTTTTCAAATTTGGAGGATGTTTTCCATGCATAAATTAAATTGCAGTATGGTAACTGCCAGGACAACCTCAAATATTGAAGGGGACCTCAGACACAAATATTCCAACCGGCTTCTGCTTCTCAAGAGATAATATTAATTATTTGAACTTGCCCAGGCTAAATAGATTCTTAATTTATTGAGAGGATTTTTTTCATGCAGAGGGTCAGATTTATCAAGTTGTTAATGTAAGTAGAACTACTTACCTGCCTCAGATTTTTGCAAGATCAGACTTCTTGTGTGTACTAAGGAAACATTTCTGGATTTACATTGTTAAAAAAGTGGATAATGTTAAAAATAATACTGTAATCAGCATTAGGACTTCCATTATGTGTCAAAAAGAATCACACTCTGTTTGTTTCCTGGCCCCCTGCAGCCAGGCTCTTCATATTAACTTGAGTGATTTGATGGAGTAACTTTGGGCTTTTGGTCCAACTTCTACGTTTAGAGATGTATGAATAAGACCCCGGTCTGTACCAACACCTTGCCTAGCAAAGTGTTAGCTCATATTTTTTTCCCATTCTCTCTATCTGTTCTTAAGATAAATTTCAAAGATGAATTTCTAAGAGGTTATACAATCAGTGTGACGTTGCAAGAACATTTGCAAGACTCTTGGCAGTTGAGTCTCAAACAACTAAGCAGTATTAAAAGTTGTAGTTTTCTCATTTGAGAGGGCATTCAGTTTCCAAGAGACTTTTAAAGGAGCAGGGTTAAACTTGTAGCATTATTTTTAAATCTAGAGTTATCAATAATTTCAGATTGTATTTCAAATAAGAGATCATGAGTATCAGAATTATGAAAGAATTCATTTTCAAAATAAGTTTTGAGGGGGTTTATAAATGGTCTATTTTTGTCTGCCATAGAAAACTGATTTTCATGTTTTTATTTAACAGAATATGAATTTATTAGTTTAGCAATGGAAATTTAAAGAAGACCCTAAATTCTCAGCCTTGCCTACCTAAAAATTGTCTGATTCTTAAAGACAGAAAACACTTGCATTTTTGACGGTTTCCAGTTCTTTAGAACTAACACTAGAAATGTTGATGATGCAGGCGTAGTTCTCATCAAATATGTAAGCTAATGATGGCTTAATTGACAGAGTTACACAGAATGGTTCCTCTGGCTTTGAGAATTGTGTAAAAGGCCCTGAGTGCCTGCATTAAGGCTGTTTGTTTTGCAGAACCACCTGTGTGCAAAAGCTTGAGGTTCTGTACTGCACCTCTGCGAGACTAGCTGGGAGCTGGGGGACGCTCCAAGCCATGGCCGTGGGCACTCGTGGGCAGTCCCAGCACAGAGCCTGGCAGTGCATGGACCAGGAGCCTACAGCTGGACCTGGACCTGTTTCTTCTGTCACATGGCTGAACCAAATCTGTGTGGCAGTGAGAGGAGAACTGCATTACCTGTCTGTCTGTGTGTGGTCTGTGAGTAGTCTATCGTGTCATTACTGTAGACTGCAGTAGCAACAAACATTTCACTGAGAAAAAGAATGTTATTTTAAAGTACATAGGCATCTCCAAGAATCTTTATTTTTATTTATGCTGCACTGAGGATTCAAGGACTTGAATTTCTTAAACAGAAATTTTTAATGACGATGATAAAAAATGTATTAGGCAGAGTACAGGTCTGACTAGTGCTACCCATACGTGCTTTACTATTCATAGTGACCCAAAAGGGGAAGGAATACGATTCAGACATTTGCTGATGTGTTACTTACCAAGCAGTGAGATTGGGGTAATCAGCTTCTATAAACTAAGGCCATTTGGAAACAGGACAGCAGTAGTGCTGGCGGGGGGGAAGGTTAGTTTTATGTCTCACGATCGTGAGTTTTCTCGAACCGATAGCCTGTTTTACCTGAGGAGAGGGTTAGAAAGGGCTAGATCCATTACGTTCATAATAAACGAGGATTGATTTGAAATATAATTTTTGTAATGTCATTATTTTGCAAAACTACAGCACCAGTCAGGCAGTTAAGATATTGTCAGAGGTGCTCTTTTAATTTAGATATTCTTGGAAAATACATATGTATAATATATGTACATATATATATATACACACAGTATATAATCTACAGCTCTGAGAGCTTTTAAGTCAGGAATGCTGAGTATTATAGTATATGGAGGTCAGAAAAAATTTTTACTTCTGTGTGCGTCTGGGTGTGTGCGTGTGTGTGCGTGTGTGTGAAAGCCTCCCCCTGCCCAGTCCTTCTGGGCTGCATTATTTAGCGCTTATTACTGATTTGTTTTGTGCTGTTTCTCAGTTATCCATTTTTGAGAATTGTATTTCATTTTTCATGGCTTTTGTGAGTTGGTTTGTTTTTATCTTTATTCTTTTTTGACGGAGATTTTTGAAATGATGTAAACAGTTGTTTTACAACAGCCACCACCCCCCAGAATAACTCACTTTTGTGCTTTTTCTCTTTGGCAGCTATATATCAAAGGCAAAACAATTGGAATGGTTGTTGAGGTGTTGCTTTTTAAAGGAACCACTGGTAAGACTTCTGTTTTCCTCCTAGAGTAGCAGCAGTGCATTTGTATGTAAGCAGCGATTTCACCAGAAGCAGGTAGTTGCTTGTATCTGAAAGCACAATTGTAGCCTGTCACGCTGTCAGGACTGTACAAACTCCTGTAGGTTCTGGCTCTTCTGTAGGTCGTGTTTGTGTCGCAGACCACTATCTTCTCTGGTACTTTACATTGATCAGAAAATCGGAGGGGCGTTTGGAATCATTAAGAGGCTCAGGAAAAAAAAAGTTAGATTTAATAAGGAAAACAGCCCTGATAGTTTCTGATCAAAATTTGTACTACAGTCTTGTTTTGTTTTTTAAATCTGGGCTTCCAGTAGACAGCAGCTGCAAGTAGTCATCTGAGCAAAGACTAGCCTCTGCCTTTTTATCATGTTAGACAGAGAGCCAGTGCTTTCTGTGGGCTAAAGACTGGTCTCTGCATCACAGCAAGTTCATTATCAGTGGTTGCAAATGCATGACAATTCATAGGGGATGTCATTGGTTTTCTAAGACCCTGTTTTTATTGTCATTTTTTACCCTGAAGATGGTTAGTGATGTCGCATTTGCCAATGATCTAACCAAAAGGTCATGTATTTATTTTTGTTACACGATATCCTTTGTAAATGTTTAATTAAAATGTGCACTTTTTAAATAAAAATAATAATAATAATAAAAAAGCATAGAAAAAAAAAAAGAAAAATTGGGTTTGCTTAAGAAGCTCCCGGGCACAATTGCTGCGATCCCGCTGCCTGCACACAATTCACTCCTCTCCCCACAGCAGTTGGCTCTTTCACCAGTGTAACTTGCTGATCAGCACCTGGCTTCCAGCAGGCACTGCTTCAGACTGGCAGGAGATGTGAGTGGGTGGTACTGAAGATGGCAAAGAATTAAGTGTGTGGTGTCTCAGAGCAGTAGGTACAGGATGGATGTGGCATTATTTTTAGACAGAACAGGTTCAGTGATCCCAGGTGAGAAAGGGAGATAACTCAGAAAGAAAGCCCAACTCTTTCTCAGCCTCTTTATTCCACTTAATTTGAGATTTAGCTGTGCATTTTAAAAGCTGCATTCCAAGAATATAAATCAAAACGCTTTATAAATTTTTGACACCGGGAATTAAAGGTATGCTGACAGTGTGTCACTTTGCTTTAAAAGAAAAAAAGCACAACTAACTTATTTGTGCAGAAATGATAATTTAGCTATAATCCTGAAATCTGTCACGGTAAGCAGGTTTTAAAAGCATACAGTACTTTCATGGTTCTCATGTACTGTGCCTGGGAACTCATTTCCCTGAGCTTTTGCATTTGCTGGCTGGATAAGACTGATTTTGCAGAAACCTGAATGTATCGTGAAGCTCAGCTGAAGTCCTTTCTGCTGTGTGCTGGTGGCAGGTTCGGGATTGTGGATAGACATGGCTTAAATCTGTGCATCTTTTAGGGAAAGGGACCAGATCCAGGTGGTAAGGGGGGTTGCATTTTAAGTGTTTTGTCTTGGAATGTACTTTTCACATGTACTTAAGCTCTGTCCTACAAAGAGACTTGCTCTGGCTATTTTTTGTAGCACAAATTGAAGACACCGACCTGTTCTGGTGCTACAAGTGCAGTTCCTGGCCTGTGGTCCACGGCAGTGAGTCTAGGTCTCACTTTCACCAACAAGGAGGAGGAAAGCCAGCTGTCCTCGGGAGCTGTGTGCTGACAGGGAAAGGGTCAGGGAGCAGCCATAGTGATCCGTGGTTAGCGCTCCTCCGTGAGCTGAGCACTTGCTGTTCTCATTGCTTGGGAGCAGTCAGTTCACTGAGTCTCAGCTTCAGCAATCTATTTCTCTAAATTAGGGAACAGCTGAGTGAGAGCAAGGGGAAGATCTTGAGCTGGTCAGTTGTCTGGAAATGGCCACTGTTAAGAACTGAGGGTAAATGGATGCTCTCCACAAGCTGTGTTTTATCCAGGTGCCACTCCATTTTTTTTTTTTTTTGTGTGTGTGTGTAATAACATTTATTTATATTAAAACATAAAGTTTAAAAATTCTGAACTGCGACTTTGTATGAGATTTAATGCTGTGCTGCTGATATGGACTTCTATGGATGCGATGGGGAACAGGGCAAAAAGAGGTGCTTGTTGGCAGCCAGCCCCTCCACAGGCTTGTCCACAGATCAGTTGTTCACTTCAAAAATGAGTTTCTGGTTGTCTGGATTTATAATTTAAAATTGTTTTGGAACAGTGTTTTTCAGGGAAGCTTCCAGAGCAAGAGTTATTGTTCTCCCTTTGTAATGTATGCTGGAAAGGGCAAGTTCACCTCATCTGCATTTCTGGTTCTTTACCCAAACCATGTTAGCACAGAACAGGGTATTTGAGCTCAACTCCCACGTACCTGTGGAAGTTAAAAGACTGAAAGAAAATCCATTGTTGGGGGAAAATGAATCCTTTTTTTACCTTTCCCCAAAGATCTAGAAACATCCCTGTTGTGTTTATTTTTTTTACTTATTTTTTTGTGCTTTATCTGTGTTTAAAAAAAAGGAAAAAAAAAAAAAAGCTGTACTGGGTTATAATGCATTTTATTAACACTATGTACATATTAGCTGCTTTATGTTTTCAGAATGGTAGTAATTGCTTTGTATATTAAAGTGATTCTTGTGAATTTGTGAATTATTGTCATAAAGATGTGCTTTTTCTTACTGTAACCTTTGTGGTATAAACTGTCATAACTCCCTTTTTACACAAACATTTATGTGCAGTCACATAAACATGCTTTAAAAAACTCTAAAAAGTCTCTTTTTTGAGCAGGATTTTCCCTTTGCACTAATCGAGAGGCAGAGCTAGATAGGAATGCAGGAGAGGGCACATTTTAAGCAGTCGATGGTATCCTCATGACATGGCGTGCTGTAAGTATTCATGAGTATTTTCCCAAACAGAGTGCTTTTAAAATCTCAATCAATTTGAATTAATTTGAGAGTAAATCCTGAAGACAAAGTTCCATTCTTCCAAAGTTCCAATCTTCCACTTCTGATACTTATTTTTAAACTTCCTTTCTTGTATCTGTTTTGGTGGTACTTAGTTCTGTTGTTTAATAATGTGTGAAAGATTTTTTTCCTTTCACAGTTTAAATATGCTATCTTTCCCACTTTCAAGCATTCCTCTTAAGCCATGTACTGCTGATTTTGAGAACAGAAGAGAAGGCAGCAAACATTACAAAGATCACAAATTGATTATGTAATCTGCAAGGTTGGATCAAACCACGGGACAAAAGCCAGAACAAATCCATCACTGATGCAATGCACCAAGGGAAAGAAGAAAGGTCGACTCATTATGAGTGGGATTTTGTGGTTTTCATAACTAAGCACTTTCATAGTGCTGTTCCTTTATTTGTTCACAAAATCCACATCTCTGCAATGAGGGGAATCCCGGGCAGGTTAGTTTGTAAGATAAAAATGCAGTTTGTCTTGAACTTCACACTGAAGGAATCAGGTAACACAGGTCCCTCTGCAGTCAGTACCTCATCCAGTAAACCTGATACTTCTGGTGCTGAGGCACCTTGAAGCTCTTTGTCTGTAAGATACAGAGCTGAATTTTGTACTCTGTCTTCGTAATAATAAAGCACCGGTTTTGCAATGACACTGCAGTTTGTTCCCTCACAGAATGGCACATTTCAGAGACGGTTGCAGAAAATCACAGTATGTTCACGTCTACCCGATCACTTCTCTGTGTCTTGGATCTTCCCCCTAGGGTGAGTGGTTTTTTACTGTCAAAAGTCTGTTTATGCACTGCGTCACTACTCTGGGACAACTGCACCAACAAGTCCTCCATCCAGTTGAGTTCACATGATATTGCAAACCAGGAGTGATGCAGTGGAACCACCCAAAAGAGAATCTCACTGATTTTTTCAAGTTTAGGATAAACACAGTGGCAGAAAGCGCCTGGGCAGGGTGTTAGTGTAATTGCCATGCAGCTGCTGAACCATTAATGTACGTCATCTCATTCTAGATCAGAAGCTTGCCTGGGACCAATCAGTCGGGACAGGAGCATTTGGTTTTGCCTCAGGCTTACAGATGTCATTGCAGAGAGCTGCTCTCAGTACTTACCCAATGGGGCCATTGCTCCTGTCCTCCTGCCCTACACAGCTGGTGTGGTTCACTCCTGAGTCTAGAAGCAGCCAAGGCTGATCTTTTCTGCCTGCTCTCAGAAAGGTTGCTGATTGTAAAAGCAGCTACAAGAGAACACACAATGGGAGCTGCTAAACAATTAGAAAGCAATGCAATTAGATTGATCTGTTTTAAAAATTCAAAACTTCTCATCATAGCACGCCATGGAGCAAAGATTCCCTTTTTAACGTCATACAGGTTGTTAAACTTCTAGGTTTTATTCTGTGCTGTTTCAGTATGCTTTTTAAGCAGGTTCCTGCTAAGGAAGCAGTGCAGCTGCAGCCTCTTTCAGGGGCTGAGCACAGCCAGGTAGCAGACCTTCCCCAGGGGCCAAGTCACACGCACAGGCAGGCACAAGCTGCAGCATTCTGCTTTCTGCCAGCCCCAGCCCCAGGGGAACCAAAACAGGCAGTGATCACAGATGAGCTGAGAGAAGGAAGCACTAGGGGGGGAGGAAGAGGAGCACTGAGAACTGGAGTCCCATTCCAAACATTACAGCCAGAAACAGAATTGGGAGAGCTTGTGATTTTTTTCCAGATGTTGCTCACCCAATTGGTAGGACAGAAAAGACAGTATGGCACATTACAGCTCATACCATGTTCTGCTTTTAATTAAAGGTGCTGTCTTCCTTTCCTCAAAAGACTTCAACACTAGTTTGAAACTGCAAATTCCCAGTAAGTACTGTTTTAGTGACACCGTGTGGCTTCTAAGTATACAGTTGTAAGCAAGTGTATTACAAAGCATCCGCCCTCAGGCGGAATTCAGAGCCAAGCAAAGAACTAAAGCTGAACACAGACAACAGATTCTCCAGTGGCAAAATGCAAGGCCTTCAGACCTTGTGGGTGGAAGCTATAATGACACGATATTTCCAGAATACGGTATGCATGTCACTTCTGGATCACAGACTCTCAGCATCTTCTCATTAGGAAGTCTGATGGAAGCAGGTATGGCCTCCACACTTGCAAGTTAGATACAACCACTAATTTCTAAGTCAGCTTGCTTTGAACTGTTGATCCCCCTCCTACCACCCCAGCCCTGTTTTCCCTGCTCTTCTTCAGTTCAGTAGTGGTAGCAATAGAACAGATTTATGGCATCTGCCTTTGTTGGGTGTGCCCTTTGCATGGCTTCTTTTACCACAGTGTTAAAAATGCAGGTCTGATGAGTTAAAACACTTTGTACTGAAGTCTTAGTTTATTCCACTTTTCTAAAGTTGAAGAAGTGATAAAAGGGAAAAATCCCATCTAATCTAATTGCTAATATAAGTTTCCTGTGAAAATTAAGTGGGAAAATTAAGATTTTTAAACCACAGATCTTTTGATTACATTTCTCATGCATGACAATTTCTGCAACATAAATCAACTTCAAAAATTATTTGATAAAAAGTCGTTGGAAGACCTTATGTATTTCTTACTGGGGAATGAAGTGGAAAATCAATATGCAGAAGGAGAATAGGAACTTTCCCTGCTGGTTCAGACTGAGTAGAAAAAGAAGCCAGTGAAATAACACAACCTCCATAATTATATGCTTAGGAACAAGTGTGTTTAGTAGGAACAAGGAGAGGTTTGAAAAGGATCAGCAGTTTATTAACAAAGTATACATTCAAAAGTCATCTTTGTGACCATGCCTCTGTGCTTTGTAGATATGAACATCCTTACTGTAATCATAGTGGACCTCATTTACAGAGAAACGGCCTTTCAGCATCTTCAAGAAGTTGCTATCCCGTTCATAGCGGATACGGCAGGAAAGAAGAATCACAGTTTGCTCTGAGCACAGGTGCTCCAACGTCTGAAGCAGTTCCTCAAAAGTTTCTTCAAGATAAATGATGTCTGCCCCCAGGATGAAGTCAAATGCTCCCGGAGAGAAGTTGCCTAGGTCTTTTCCCCAAGTTAGTTCCTTCACCACAGCCTTTGGGTGTAGTTCAGAAGGTAAGTTAGCCCACACGTTCAACTCCAGGAATTCTAGTGCTGGCTCCCTGTCTGTGATGGTAACGCGAGCACCTAAGTGGTACAGGAATATATGTCTCAGATAAATGCTTGATGTCCATAAATAGAGCATCTGGAATACAAAGCGTCAAGGTAAGCAGTCCTAATAACTGCTGAGATGCTTGATTAAAAACAAAGGAACAAAACAAGCAGAAATCCCACTGTCTGGACACATCCCATTCTTCATTAGTCACTTAAGAATATAAAATATATTCATATATTCCACACGAAGATTAAATCAGGTTAAACAAAAAGGTTTTCTGGCGCTTTTTCTCAGTGCATGAGAGTAATTATTTTCTGGTATGTGACAACAATTTTAAAAAGACTGTCACCATTAACTTGCTCTGATTCCTCATTAGAAGAGAAGCAACTGAAGAGGTCCGAGAAAATTTATGCCTGTGTGATTTCCTATGGCATTGCCACATTTTGTCAAACTGCTTTGTTTTTATTATTTTAACAGGCACTTTCCACTGTCAGTACAGCCCTGAATTACATGATAATCTGCGACACTTAGCACAGATTAAACAGTGCTCAGCCCCTGTCTCGGCCACAGTAGTACGCAAGGCAAATCATTCCTCCAGACCTTGGTTTCCCTGTCTGCAAGATAGGCTAATGTGGCTTTGTGTGCTCTCTGTCTGCAGCTTTATCTGTGCTGCATTTCAGGAGAATTGAAAGACGACAAGCACAGCTCTTGCTCCCTGAGGGAGGAGATCTGCAAAGCTCAGTGTTGCGAAGCAGACTGCCATGGTAACAGCATCAGTCTTAGCAAGGTCCCACCATAAAGTAAACTGTGGTGGCACTATCAGTACAGTAAATAACACAGCAGGCTCTGAAGTCTGATGAGGGAGGAAGATGACTCAGGATATATCACAGTTCACATGTGTGGCTTTCATATGAACTTCTGCATGTGGATGTAAAAATGCCAGTTTTACTACAGCTGTAAATTGCTCACGGCAAACAAAACAACCCTTACCCAACAGTGTGGCCACTATTCCCAGCAATCCAGTTCCAGCTCCCAGCTCAATCACCGACCGATCCCTGAGATCGATGCCTCCCATCTCCAGATAAGCAGACAGGACGACAGCCTGAGCCAGGAGACAAGGTCAGTTAAGTGCACCTCAGTCATACTGAATCACAGCGCTTCTGATTTACACGGAAGAAGCACGTTATGAGGAGGGTCTGCAGCAAGGCTCCGGTCAGCCCTTCCGTGGAGGGCCCGTGAGCCAGCGTGCGGTCTCGTCGTGAGCTTTACGGAAGACCCTTAGAGGCAGAATACGATAACGGCCCCGCTACCTAACGTGCAGCGCCGAGGAGCGTTCCGCGGGGCAGCTTCTGCCGGAACCGACGCGGCCGCTCGGGCACTGCATCTCTCCCTCTGCCAGCGCCCCGCAGCCTCGGGCCGGTCCCAAAGCCGGGCCGTCCGGGAGGGCCACGGCCCCGACGAGGCTGCCGGCGGTCCTCGCGGCCGCTGCAGGCGGCGGGCCCCGCGTGCTTCCGTGCTGCGCGCCCCCTGTGCGGGGCCCGGGGCGCCCGCTGCCCTCGCGCACGTGAGGAGCCTCTTAGGGAAGCGAACTTTCTTTAATCCGCCGATCCCCAATTCGGCGCTCGGTCGCTTCTCCGCGCGATCCGAAGTGCCCGGCCGCCTCCCGGCCCGCACCTACCGCGTCCCACACCACGGCCGCCACACCGCGCCGCTCCCAGTCCTGCCGGATGCGGACGGTGCGCCCCGCGAAGCGGTACGTGGCCGTCGGCCTGCGCAGGCCCTGCAGCGCCCGGCCTTCCTCGTAGGGCACCAGCGCCATCGCGGCCGCCTCCTGCGGAACGGCGGAAACGCGGCGGGGCGCGGCCGAGCCGCCCCGCTCCCTCCCTCGCTCCGGCCGCTGCGGAACCGTGCAGAACAGGGGCCGGGGCGCGGGAGGGGCGGGCGGCGGCGGGGCTGGGCCGGGCGAAGGGGCCCGTGCCGATGAGCGGTGTCGGGCTGGAAGCGGTCATCGCGCGGCCGGATAACGTCGGACGCGGCTCCCGGTACGGCTGGGTCGCGGCGCCGAGCGCGGCCGCAGGGCCGAGCCGCTCAGCGGCGGAGGTGTGGTGCCGGTGCTCCCACTGCCTTGTTTGTGCACGGCTCTCTCGTCACCTTTGGCTCCGTTTAATCTCTTGTTTGGCAAAACAACACAGCGCGCCTCTCCTTTGTCTCCCTACCCAGTTTCTTGAACCTGCTCCAAAGCCTGCTAAAGGCCGTGGGAGGGCAGGGCAGCCGTCCTGGCTTCCCGGAGGCGCTCGGCAAAGACTCCGGCAGCAGGAGGGCAGTGCCGGCCATGCTCCTCGTTCCCTGCACGGGGCCAGAGCAGGCGTGCACGGGTCACAGGAGAAGCGCCTGGGAGACCTGCGCCCATCTCCGGGGGCTGCACCGCTCAGCGGCTCCCGGTGCCAGCCCTCAAACTCAGGGAGCACAACCAACTTCAGGGCTCACAGCCCTGCCCTCCCACAGGAAACAGCAAATCTGGCTGTCAGAAGAAAGCAAATGTTGTTATATGTGAAAGCTGTTGATTTCAACAGAGCGGCTTTAGATTCGTTAACACCTTTGTGGAAGAGCATTACAGGCTGCACAGGGGAGCAGGAAACAAAGCTTGTTTGTAGGGTTCTGCTACTGTAGTGGAGTGGAAAGCAGAATTCCACTTGCCCCAGACCGGTTCATACTTGTCTTATGGCAACTCAGACTTCTTTTCCTAAGCAGGCCAGAGCAGGTGTGATGATTCAGCTTACTGTGGTTTTATGTCTAAAGCACTGGTTCCTTGCCACTACTCCTACTTGACAATAATGCAGCAAATAGTCTTTTCTCAAAAGTGTCTTTTTCTAAGGCATATATCCCAGAGTATCTCAGCAGCTCAGCAGGCTCTACGAATCCTGCTCTTCTCCTCAGAAGTATTTCCCTTTCTTCCTCGCTAATATTACTTTGGCACTGACTTTCACACGCCTTAGACAGAAGGCCAGGAATTACTTTCCAGAGCGTAACTTGGTAGTGAAGCTATTAAAAAGGCAATTAAAGGCTATTAAAGGGCCCTACATCTAACTTTTTTTCCTCTCTACAAATCTGCTTTCCAAGTTACAGTGCTCAAGTATTATAACAGCAGAGTACGAGACATACTTTTTTCCCCACCTTTCCTGACAGTAAAATGGCAAGGAAAATGTAACAACAAAGAATTCTATGCATAGGACAGTTGTCCAAAACTGAAGTACTTTTTCTCTCAGCAGGGTGAGAGCTTAGCACAGCAATGAAGTTGGGAGAAATGTAACTCGGTTCGCCTTTAAATGCTGCAGAAGGCAAAATGGACATCTGAGCTGCAGATAAACTTGCAAAGTAGGAAACTGCTCATTGTAAGGTAAGCAAGGGTGAGTTAAAGCAAAAAGAAACACTGCTTTCAATCCATTCTTATCTCACTCAACTACTTGATAGAATAGAGGTGCAGTGTGTCCAACTGTAAATCCTGCTCCCTCTGATGCCAATAAGCTTTGTGGGGTGATTTATAGAAGTGTTTCAGAGCAGTGGTTCTTTTAATGCTCAGAATATCAAAGAATCAAGTAGATGTCATGAAAATGAGAGCAAATTCTTTTAAGACTGTACTGGTACACATCTCTTACAGAAATCTTCTCTTGGCTGCTAAATGTTTAAAATCCTTCCTTTGAAATGAATACAGCAGTTCTTGTGATGGTTCTGCATACTGCATATACCAAATGGATCTTGGAGACATGCACAACGCGAGGAAAATACTGCATCCATCTCACAGTCTCTGGTTGCCACGGCAAAGACAGGTATAAATAGAAACAATCTGATACACTTTTTAAAAACTGTATCAGGGAACACGCGTTGTTGGTAACTGTCTGACAGCAACGCCTTATCCCAAATGGCCGCAGTGACTATTTGCCTGGAGACTTCTGAGCCTATGTGTTTAATCCTTTCTGTCTAAGCAAATATCAGCTATTTCTTCTTGTCCTTCCACTGGAACACAAGAACTATCTGTGAAGGAAAGTTTTGACAGATGTCTGTTTTGCTAAAAACTTCCTCCAATAGAACAAATGCTAACTAACACCAGGCATGGTGGGGAACTTGGAAAAAAAAGCTTTCTCCTCAGCTACCACCAGCAGCGGCCATTCAAGTGACTAGCAGTGAAGTGATGAACAGTTTTTATGTGTTCACTGGTAGCTTCCAAACACTCGGCACCAGAGAGATAGATAGAGCACTGAATTGCTTTCTGTTAAACAAAAAGGGAGTCAGCCAGAGATTAATTCTGCTCATCACTGCTTGCAGTTACAGAATAAAGCCTGATTGATCTGAACCACCTTTGAAACCAACAGGATGAATTAAAAATGAAAACCTAAGTTTCTGCAGAAGCTAACAGGTTATCTGCAGACATTATAACTTGCTGGTTCTGCAAGAAGTGTTAAATAAGAAAATAATGTATGGCATGAGCTACTGTGTCATTTTCTTTATACAAACACAGTTATGTTAAGTGACGGAAGTAATGAAAAAAATCATGAAGATGCTTAATTTCAGAAGCGCAGGGGCTGAAATGCAGGAAGTTTTGTTGTGAAGGAATAGTTCCCATCAGCACTATTACAGTCACTCCATAAACCTCATATCTTGATCAACTGTCAGATATAATCATGGCACTTATTACAATCTCTTGATACAGAAAAATCACATCACTTCTAGTGGAGTTACGTGACTGATCTCTCAAAGGCCACACAGTTCTGAAAGTTGGCATTGTTCTGAAATCTTAATTAACCAACAAAAAGCAAAACGAGCCAGCTCTTCTCCCCATAAGTGACAATGGCACTTTGGTTGCTGGAAACCTCCAGCTCTTGCTAATGCACTTCGCAGATCTGACCAACAGCCTCACATTGGTGTGCCAGCAGCTGGGCACTGGGCCGTGCTGGCCCTCTGATGGGAAGCAGACAGTGCTGTGCTGCAGGGCCATGGGAGGCAGGGAGGCGGGTTGCAGTGCAGATGCTGCTGCCCTCCCACAGCTCTCATGTGCAGGGTGCCTGGCTGGGGGCTGCAAAGCACCTGGCTCGGGTGTCTGCCTGTGGGATGCTGCTGCACTGGGAAATGTGCTGCAAAAACACTCTTTGGTGGAGGCTGACTGTAGATCCAGAGGGTTAATTTTAAGTGCTCGCATTTCTGATGTGTTCCGTAGGTGCAGAGTTATGTAACTGGAGGGAAAATTACAGTGCAAGCCATGTACTGTATTAATTTACAACTAGTTAACGACAACTAAGGGCAGTTTGAAAACAGTTCTATAGGCAAGCAGACAGCAGCTAGAGCATGCAGGTAGATGCATCAGGTTCCCTTTTTCAAGTAGAAACCAAGAAAAATGTTTTTTGTTGGTTGGTTTGTTTATTTATTTGAGATAGTATTAGGCAGCTTTTCTCCACTCTTTAGAAACAAAACTCTTCAGACAAAGGAGAAGAAGCACTAGGCACCCATAGGCAATTTCTGGTGCCTCAGACCTCACAAGAAGGGCTCCTCAGGGCCTCCTTCCAGGCTTTTCATGGCCCATGTTGGAACTAAGCCTTCAGAAGTTTTTCTTAAAGCTATGGCTGGGCTTACACATGCAGTTTGCTGTTTCTGAATGAAGTCACACATGCCATGTTCATGTTTGTATTAAAATACTGGAAAGCGTTTCCCTTTTCCTCATAGGAAAACTGCATACATGACCTGGAGTACAGCTATTTCCAATGCTTGGCTCCTCAGGAAGAGGAGCTGTGCCAGCTCTGCCCAGCAGCGCAGAGCACAGCCTCCTTGATTTCAGCGCATCTGAGATTCTCTTCTCAGGTGTAAGGTCTCCATAACTCCACTGCTGTAGTCCATTCTCTTGAGTCTCCAATACCTGCCGATGCTAGTTTTATGTTTTCTTAGGACAAAATGAAGACAAGATCCAAAAAAAGACTCCAAGGTCAAAAAACATTTACTGCCATATGCTTGTGCTGTTGGCATCACTGCAGTGATCCAGGTGCTCGCATGCTAAGAACCTCTGCACTGCCTGTGTTGACATCCAGGATTGCTGCAGAGACACAGAGGTACAGGTGGGATCAATTACAGCCATGCTGGAGTCTGTGTGCTGCGAGGCACAGCTCCCAGCCCTGCTGGCACTGCTCACCGCTCGTCAGTAGTACAGGAGGTGATCTGAAAACTGAGAACGTTAGGGCTACTAAACCTCACCCTGTGACCCTGTGTGTTCTGAACAACCTCACTGGTTTCTTTTTTCACTCACACCCTAGCGGAAGCACTGGATCTATTTCCCTAAGTACTTTTTTTGTTTCAGTTTTTTTCCCTTAAATGGCCACAGCCTTATGTTACTGCTGAGCCTCAGAAGACAATCATGCCTGCAGTATTTTCATCCTGTCAGCTGGTGCTGGATTTCAAAACAGGATGCCCACTTTTCCCCCCATTATTCACAGCAGTGAGATGCAGAATCCTGAGCTTTTGTTTCCAGTTGGTTACACGGTCCAACGTGTGATTCATTCTTCCTGCAGCCATGTTTCCAGGAAAAGACAATACTGTGGCCCCTCTCCAAGTCACCCGCAGACTGAGGCTTGAGCTGGAGAGTGCTCCTGTGCCTGCAGCTGAGACACTTTCTAAGAAGAGATGAGGGGACGAGGCCTCAGGCGTGGACTGCTGTTATCTCCCAACAAACAAGCAAGGAGGGACACAGCCTTGGGAAAGCACATGCAGCACAGAATCAAGGTGCAGATAAGAGCAGAATGTACAGGATTTAAAATTCTTGGCCCTGTGAAGCACAACAAGCATCTGCAAAGAGCTAGTCTCTGTTCTTGGGATTGAGGCTGATTGCCAAGCCAATGGCTTAAGGGCCTGCAGTGTCCCTCCAAACATTTAGGGAGACTCCTGGCTGCTCGACGCCATTGGTGTGGACTATAATGCCCATGGATATTGGAGTTTCCCAAGAGTTGTTCAGACAGGAGCTGGTAGTGATGGCTTCCAGCTCTGCTCTCAGGGATAAAGCTTCTCATGGCTCTGTGTGGTGGAGCCTGGGCCGGAGAGCTGCGTGGCCATGCGCTCCAGCACTTGGCTTTGGCAGCAGTCAAACACAAATGTGCATGGATCTGCTGGCAAGGAACTGTGGTGGGGAAGGCCTGGGCTGGGCAGTGCAAGGGCTTGTCTGCAAACAGTGCCAGTAGGCAGCAACTCACGTGTGTGGGGCAAGCAGGCCAAGTGCAGAGCAGAATCACCTCCCCGTGAGCCTGTGAGCAGGAGCACAGCACCTGCAGTGCCCTGCCAGGTCTGGCAGCCTTCCCTTGTTGTGCCCCCCACATGCAGTGACACAGGTAGCTGGGCTCACGGCTCAGCAGCAGCAGCGTAGGCTCCAGTGCGTGAGCCCTTTGGGCTCCCCACGCGTTCAGCAAAGAGGGAATCTGGTGCTTTGTGTTTTCAGAATAAACCATGGCTCTGTTCCATCTCCATGTTTAGGGAATACAGACTACTGCTGTGACTGTGATCTGACTTCATCTTGCAACCCTATGTGGCCCTGGGGCTGCCTGAAGATCTCCTGGCAGTTACAGACACTTCCCCAGAGGGCCTCTGTTTGGGTTCATTTCCCAGATTGTGGAAAGTAACTTTCTCGTTCATGGAAAGTGAAGTGAGCATGCTCTCCCCACCGTGCACCATGAAAAGCCAAAGGTGATCTCTGGGAGCAGAACTGAAGGCCTGTAGAGCAGCCTATGTGCTGATGGTGAGCATCTAGCTCAGGAGGGCTCCTGTGCGGCGTTAACGCCAGCCAGGGTGTGAGTGCCAGCCAAAACCCTCGGCTGCTTCTTGTGTGTTCTGCTTAGGTCACATTTTCTCCATGAACACCAATGGAAGGGAATGAAGTACTTTTTATCCTCATAAAGCAAGGTTCAGGTTTGAAAGGCCCTGCCAACGCAGAACATCCCAAGGCTGCTGCACTCCCCTCGGCCCGGCGTGCAGCGGGAGGGCCGTGCCCCCAGCACAACGATGGACATTTGTGCGATGGGAACTGCTGACTCACAGGGGTAAATCAAGCGAGATAGCAGAAGGACGGCACGGGAGGAGGATGGGACTGGCAGTAAATCGCAGCGAACGGCGTTCGGAATGCGGCCACGACACCGAGCCAGTGTGCGCGGGGCCGTGCAGGCCCGGCGTGGTGCCACCTCCATCGAGTGCCGCTCTGGGCGCCCAGCGCCATCACCGCTCTCGGCAAAGCACCCGGCATCGGGTCCCGCGCTGCTCTGCCGCGGCAGCTCTGCACGAGAGCCGTCAGACCGCCAAGACGCTCAGAGCGTAGAGGAAGGCGGCTCTCCGCGAGCCACGGATCCCCGCCCGAGACGGCGCTAGGGAGCGCGGAGCACCGGCTCGCGAGCCGTGGGAGCCGCACCCCCGCCCGCACCCGGCCGCCGAGTAGCGCCGCAGCCATCCGCACCTGCCAACCGCGCGGCCCCAGCTCCGCGACCCCGCGAACGGGCCCGAGGGCGGGGCGCGAGCCCGGGGAGGTGCGAGGGGCGGTGCCGCGCGCGCGCGTGCACTCAGGGAGAGCGGGAGGCGGAGCGCGATGGCGGAGCGTGACGGC